GATGATGATGATGATGATGATGATGATGATGATGATGATGATGATGATGATGAGGCATGAAAGTCGCTTGCAGACTTTTCTTAACGAGATCCACACTTGCCACATGATCGATGGATTTTTCCCGGGGCCCAATGAAGATGTGATGTACAGGGAACCCTGACAAAATTATGCCAAATGAAAACTGACGCGCAAAGGACGCAGGGAACCACTGGAGCAATGACCGGAATGGTTGTAGAACAGGGGAATTAACAGAGCGTGCTCTTGACTCTTGATTCAGACGGCCCTGAATAGATAGAAAGGGAAACGGCCCAAGCAGTTTCCAGCATATGTTCAAAGAGGGTGCACATTTCTATCCTTTTTGGGGGCCCTAATATTGCCAGCAAGATTGGGCATCGTATTGATTTGGATGGCCAGCCATCGGCCAGGATGTGTGTGTAATTTTTGGCATCTTAGGATGAAAAAATGCAACTTCGAGCATGAGAGGCCAAGGGATATTGAACACGTTTCGAGGATTAATTGTTCATTACAACTTGGGCATCTTCCAAAAGTGGCGGAAACTTTTTCTTGGGGGGACTGGCGTTCCTTTGTGCCGACCGGTTGTGGTTGTGGTTGTGGTTGTTGTTGTTGTTGTTGTTGATGTTGATGTTGATGCTGATGTTATTTGTGCACGTTCCTTTTTGGTTTCGGGCGACTTGGAGGAGAAACAAGTTCGCATGTTTTTTCACGAATTGGAATCAGCTGGACAGTTTGTCCGTGTTCGTTTTCCCTCAGCCAGGGGGGGCAGAAATTGGACAGGAGGAGTTGTGGAAGGTGCCACTCTTCGTGCTAAGTCTATATAGAGGAACAACCAATGTCCCTCAAGCAGCAAAGACGGTGACTGCGCACTTATCCAGCTACGTTCCGGAAACCTTCCCGGAGGTCACCTGGCTGGAACCCACGGAGCCACAGTGGACGACAGGAAGGTCCAGGTATGGATCCTGGTGCCAAAGCCGCCTGAAAATTCTCGATGGATCCCGCATACCTTCTGAGAAGATGATTGGAGACTTAATTATACATAACATATTATGTGTAGTCTTGGAGGGCCTGGGAAGGTGGACCGTTAGGGATGACATAAGCAGGGGTCGAAGAGGTAGTGGCACGCACGCTTTCCGATACATGTTGAAAGGTGACCTGCTTGACGTCCAGGAGCTGCGCTTGTTGAAGTTTGCTCTTGAGCAACACGAGCAGCCGGGGCCCTGCAGGGTCCTGATGGGTCAGTATAGTTCGAGGCTCTTTGGCTGGTCATGATGTAGTTCATAGCCCCGATCAGGACAGATCGGAACGTTCATCGATGTTCAGAAGCAATGGCTTGGCATTTCCTGAGCGTTCGGCCTGGTTCCATTGGGTGCCACGAAGCTTCCGAACTGGGTGACCGAACTCATGGGCTGCTGACTGGACTGAACAGCTGCTCCGAACAGCTGCTCCGAATGCTTCAGCTTCAAGTCTTCCAACGATGGTCCAACCCCAAAAGAGCTTTCTATCAGACAACCAAAGGTGTTTGTGGATTGTTTTTCAGTTGGACCTCAGTTGGTAGACATCGACTTCAAACACCGACTGCAAGATCGTAGTTTTCTTGGGGATTGTTTTGCGCTTATGTGTTGGAATGGAATGTGGACTGAAACATGGCAACATCTCCAAATATGTTGTCATTTTTTGTTGTCCCATGTTTGAATGCTGACGCCTTTTGGGGTGGGGAAAAGAACCTCCTGGCCGACCAGACACCCTTGGCCAATGCATGCAAAGCCTATTGGAATCCAGACGTGGGGCGTTTGGCAAGGGAGGGCGTTCTTGCCACGTATGGTATATATATAGACCTACGTTGGGGTGCTGTCAGGGGTCAATGTATGCAAATGGAGTGTTTGGGACTGCCACACTTATGCCAAGCACAGAGATCGACACGTCGATCGCCAGTGCCTTCGATGGCGGCAGGGACAGCTGGACTCGACAGCTGTCAGTGACTTTTCAGACCTTCCCAAGAGCCACATAGGCTCAAAGTCATGGCTTCTTGACCTCAACCATTGGTGAACGGCACCCCTTGTCCTGGTCGGTGTGTAGGGACTTCAAGAGTGTGTCAACACATTGAGATAAAAGCCACCTCTGCCATCTCTCCATCCTGCAGAGCACCTGAAGGCCTCGCCTCAAAGCCTACCAGATCCTATCAGTGTTTGTTCTTCACCGAAAATGATTCCAAAGGGGCTGATGAAAGGGAACCAGAATGCTCATTTCAGGGCTGTCCACCTGACTCGCTGGCTCGAACCACCTCTCACCCAAACACGTCGAACACTTTCTTCACGCCTCAGCGCCTCAGGTTCATCTCGGAGATCACTGCGAGCTTCGAGCGCCTTCGCGCGGCACAGAGCTTTCCGGGCGAAGGCACCCGGGGGTCACGTGCGCGGCGAAAACGCCGCCGGCCCTGGTCCAAGAGCGGAAATCGGTCACCAGGGAAGACCAATTGACAAGGAAGTAAGGTAGAAGGTAGGCGCCGACGCTTGATTCATTCATCACCCCCCCCGCGGATGAAGATGTGGTCAATCAAAGGTGGGCGATGTTTTGGGCGTTCGTTGGCCTCCGTATCCTCCCATCATCTCCCATCAGCTCCCTCAGCAGGTACTTGGACCGGTTTCATTCTTTCGGACTTCACTGGTGGGTCCGCAGGTCGGTGGGTCATTGGGCGGATCCATTCTGTACCTTCATCCTGCATGGGTTTGAAGACACCGAAAAATACGGGGTATTAGGTGTGTGGTTTGCGCTTATTGAAGGTTTCAGGCAGAGCTCACTAAACCCGCCATTTGTTGAATCATCTATTAGTTTACCATGTATCATGTGTTTTGTTCTCCTCCAGTGCCATTCAGGTTGCACATCGCACAACAAACCGATCGACAAGGGGGTTCATCATGTCACTGATGACCCCGTGAGGTGTCCTGTAGACACACGGCATTGCATACATACACACTTAGAGTTTGAGGCATTGGACACTTGCTGTATCTCAACCCAGGACCTCGTGACAGCAGTGACAGCATTGACAGCCAACCCCCCCCCAAGAAAAGGAACTCGTCTCCCGGTTTGGCCCGGCTCCGACCTGGTCCGGCGTCCGAGCCCTTTGCTCCATCAGATCCATCACGGCTGCTATTTCGGTTCGGCGAAGGCACCGGTCGTCGCAGACAAAACCGGAAACTCCTGGTCCGACACAGAATTCCAGTTGCTCATGGCTTAGCTGGAGCTCCCCATCCCGCATGCGAACTCCAAACACAGATCATAGATCCGATCCGAAAGATGCCTGGCCACATGTGGAACAAGATATAGTGTTCCCAAGGGCCCTGGGACCATCCGCCGTCGATGTTCATTCGACCATCCACCTTAGGGTCGGTTCCCTTCAATTGGGTGGGTCCCCTGTTTGGGGTGGTTTTCATGGACATCCCTTAACCTCTAAGGAGCTCCCAAACAGGACACCCCAAACTGGGGGCCCTGTTTTTTCGGCACTCCCCTTTTCGTTTCGATTCCGGGTTGAAGAGACGACCCGGGTCGGACATAGGACGGCAGGTGAAGCCAGACCCGTCAGTTTTTCACGCCGTGGCGTGTGGTCGCACCCCGCGCCGTGGTCGGTTCTCCTGCCCACCCAGATCTCGCAGTGGTGTCCAACGTGCCGCCGGACCAGCAAGAGCCGCAGGTGCGCTCGACCGTTCGGACGAACGAGCGGAACGAGCAGAGGGAGCCGCGATGCGAAGTAGAGAGATGGTTGATCCCAAACACTCCAACGTATTGAATATGATGCAAGACACAATTGGCTATATATAATCATACCAGCACCACCCCAGGGTGGTTTATAGACCCCCCTGACTTGCTTTTTTCCCGTCTCCTGGGTAGCGAACGAAGATCACTGGGGTGATAGACATATCCCAGACCATCATAATAGACCATCCATGTATGGAACAATGGCAAACATTTGCACCATGTATGATCCTAATAGCCTGCTGCTATAGCAACTACTATTCCAATCCCATGGCCGGTATAGATGGGTCATCCCGACCACACGTTTCAAGCGTCGGTTGCAGTGATCCCCTCCATTGCAGTGGATGTTTGGATGGATCTTCTGGGCGCCAAAGGGACCAGTGGTGTTCATATAATGTAATATATACCTAGAACCTGAATGACCTCTATTTTGGATCACCAACCACCCAAAATAAGGTCTTTTCCTTTCAAAACGGAGGTAAAATGGGCTATATATATATATATGTGTGTGTGTCTGTGTTCACCAGTGGCGTTCGATTCCACAAAGGCTTTGCACCCCCATCCAGTGAGTGACCTCAGTTACCTCATGGTTCCAACCACCATCCCCACGTGGTTTTCGCCGCCATTTTTTGGCTTCGCCATGCCCACTCCCCGCAACACCCATTGGTAGGACTCCTCATGGCCCTTGGCCCCCATTGACTTCGACACGGATGAGACTTCCAGCATCCGCCCCGCGAGCTTGGCGAAGGACCGGAGCGAACCGCAGCGGTAGGTTTGGAAGACGCCTCCATGACAGGGGTCCCGGGTTCGGAACACATACAGACAACGCAGGTGGCAAGGACTCCGCGGAAAGCTGGTCGATCTGGAGGATCCCCTGGCTGTTCAGGGTCCGGGTCCTTCTGCGGGTTGCGGATCGAAAGACCCATGAGGACCGGAGTTTGGAGGAGTTGAATATACTGTATATAACCTTGCTTGGCATTGGGTCAGCGGTCTGGATCAGTTGGGTCAAAGTTCCTTCATATTTTTGTTAGTGGTGGATTTTCATTATTATTCGTTCATTCTATGATTTTATGTTTTGCATTCCCTTTCATTTCATATAAAACAGATACTAATTCATTCACTTTTTCTATTCGTACCAATAGACGCTTGGTCAGGGTAGGCCTTATAGTATATTATTGAAAAAAGTGAATGATAAATATAATGGCTCATGTTCATTTTGCTTGGCGGTCTGGATCTGGGTCAGCTGGGTTTTGGGGTCAGTTGGCTCAGCGGTGTGGATCAGTTGGGTCAGCTGGGTCAGCAGCCTGGTCAGTTTGGTCAGCTGGGTCTGGAAAATGTTCCATTGCGGTGATAGCTATTGCAGGACATTTGATTTGTTATCCATCGACACTAGCATGGCTCATTTTCAGCACCGTTTTTCAAAGGCTGCTCATTCAAGCAACGTGGAGTAAATTGAATATATGCATCATAAAACTTCTATCACTCTGACTCTTGATTAGCAGTCAACCCCTTCCTCAGAGATACTGTAGAACATCACCATCTCCTAGACCACCTACAGGACTGGAATAGTTACTTACGGTCTCAATGTGCCGCTCTGACACTTCCACGCCTCATGCATGGTTTGCAAGTTGGTTGGCGCCGCGCATTTAAATCGTGGTGGTTGTGTTTGGCCCCAGTTTCTTCATGTTTCTTCCCGACCAAAGCCATCATCACCTCTCAAAGCACTGTCTCAAGAGTCAAGACATACTGTATGAGACATATATGAGACATTTTGTTTCCATCTGGGGCATGCACGGGTCTTGAATACCAACCTACCTGCCAGCATGGTGTTTTTCGAACCAGGCCTGGCCTCCACGTCCTTCCCGCGGCCGCGAGGAAGCAAGCAACAAGATCCGTAAGAGCCGCACCACAGCGTCCCAGGCGAGTTGCTCGCTCGGTTCTTTATTTTCTCGGAAGTTCCTGAAGACTACCGGACAGTGGGGGCAACAAGGTGCAGCAAGTCGGATTGTTTGGATTTGTATTTTACTTTTAAAGGGTTTACTAAGAAGGATGTTCCGAGCGACTTTGGACCACGTCAAGGTGCCAGAGGGTTGACCATGCCAAAATGGGGCACTCGGAGGGTTGACCATGCATGTGAAGTGCGCATATGACCCCGAGCCACGGTCTTGTAGGCTGAAGCTGGTTGAGTGTTTTGTTTCTCACATCTTGAGCAAGAGGGCGGGGGCATCCAGAGCCAGGCATCTAAAGTAATAACATGATTCAAAGAAGGTGCACTCTCTAAGGGGCAAAACTGGAGCATTTGGAGCATTCGGAGTATCATGAGCTTTCACCTATTGTTTGAGTCATCCATCATCATCCAGCTACCCCTAGGGATCCAGTCGTACCTCCTCAGAAGGTACGACTGGACCCTCCTGGCACCTACATAACAATGTCTCCAATCACCTGAGAAGGTACGACTGGATGCCTAGGGAATAGATGGATTGACAACCAATCCTGATTTCGCACAACAGTGGATCGCACACGATCTTTTCACGGTGAAAAGGCAGAGACCGAGGAGGGCGATATTCCCAAATCATGGTCAAGGAACCCTATAGGGCTCCAACCAGATCCTCAGAAGATGGTTAGACCCCTGGCAGCCACCCCAACCATTTTCTCAGGAGGTAGTTGGAACCCTAGGGGAAGTGAATTGTTAACTGATGAATCCTGGGCTTTAGGCTGGCTTTGTATTGATCGGCAGCCAGCTAGCTGAAAGCTGGCTCTTTGGAGCCATCACGGGACTCGAACGTGCACCGGAAGACTTGCAGCACCGATGGTTTCCGTGCCAACTGTGATTCACTGATCATCATAGCTTGTGCGAATTGGATTCTGGAGGCATTCCCAGACACCCCATGGGACTGCCATAGGACTGCCGATCAGGCCAGGGGTGGTGCGTGGTGCCAGGGGGGTCAAGTCTGGGGGCGGCAGTCCGTCCTGGCAGTTCCATGGAGTGTTTGTGTCCGAGATTTCAGGACCCATCAGTTTCGGGCGGGTTTGATCCCCGGAACCCGTTTGGGATGCGGTCCGACCTCGCTGCGCGTGCCGGTCACGAACCGACCCGGCAGGACTGGGATTGTGGTCGACGCCCTTCCCAGCGATCGCACGGGAGCCGCACCACGCGCAAGGTGCCCACAGCAGCTCGGATCGACGCTCACAGCGTTCGGTGAGGGGCGAAGAGGTGGTCACGGCGTTCGGCAGACCGTGCAGCACCAGGCAAGAGGTGGTGAGTCATGGACACGGACTCATGGATACTCCTGAAGCATGGAACCCCAGAATGCCATTGGAGCCTCCAAACCTACCCCAACCTACCCAAGCACCTTATTAGAAGGTACTTGGAGCCCTAGGGTGCTGCAAAACCCAGGTCAAGGACATCATTCATCCCCGTTCCAATTTCCTGTATGAAATGGGGTGTCTCAAGTCCACTACGTTGAGGTTTTTAATATTCTGCAAAAAACAGAGGTTGAGGCACCTCTTTTTGTAGAGATGAGGATTTTGTAGCACAAGGCCTTGATGCTGAGATATAGAGGATGGGTCCCTGCAATTTTGTAGTGCAGATTTGTCATTTCAAGATGATTATATCCGATGTTGGGTACGTCCACAAATTTCTGCAGCCATTTTGGTGACTCAAAGCGGGTTCATACCATTTTGTAGTCAAAAACATTGACAACATAGAGGTTGGGTCCCACCACTTTTGTAGTGCAGATTTCCTGTTTCTTATATGATACTATCTATGTTGGTTCCAAGCATTTTGTAGAGAAGCAGGGTTGGGTCCTTGCAAAATATATAGTATACATGTAAATTTGTGATGTTGGGTCCCCAGTTCTGTTGTACTACAGAATGGGGGCCCCGACCCCACCCTAATTGGCAGGGGGATCATCATTCTGTTTTTTCGTCGAAAAGCACCGATGCAGCGCCAGCGAGTTGCTTTTTCGAGGTCGGAATGCTGCTGGCAGAGCCCCTTGGCGGCGAGTTAGGGCCTGGTGACCTGCTGCCCTGGAAAAGGTTTTTTTGCGCCTCACATTTGGTTGTATCCGATTCAAAGCCTGTATACATATCCCCATGCTGATGAATTGTGGTGTTTCGTGTGTTTTGTTTCCTGAACTCCTTTGTTAAGTGACTCCTGAACTCCTGTATGCATATCTCCATGGTAACATCAAGCGGAACATACTTGGCTGCGCCGACGGTTGGCAACGGCCTCGCGGCTTTCAAGAACCGACACTTCAAGATTGATGGGGATGTCGGAAAGATATCAAGCAAAGGCCTGAAGCACATCGACAGGGCTGCCAGCATGTTGCGGAGACATTTGCTCCAATGCGCATGTGATGATGGCAGGGTGAAAGAGGTCTTTGATCATATGGCCACCAGACCCGAAGTCATGAAATCAGGCAAGTGGACACTCACGATATCTCGAGGCATTGCGCAACGTGGGTGTGAGCATCACTCACAAGCTCCCCGCTTGCACGAAGCCGAACGTGAAGCTGAACGAGGCGTTGGGGAAAAAGAAGCCTAGGGCAATGATCTCAACGGGAGATCAAGGTGTTGCACTTCACCTATTTGATGCGGCGATTTTTGAGCGCCTACTTTTTGAGAACCCTTTCTTTGAGGCAAGGTCGATGAAGCATGCCACGCCGAAGGAGTACGCCAACAGGATTGGTGCCTTCATTAGGTCGATTATGCACTAGAACAGGTGCGGAGCATGGTGGAAAACATGATCCTCAACAACATCTTCCAGCAAGTGCTGGGAGACGGCGAGGTGGCGACCTCTATCTTGAGGGAGGCACTAGCGGATCGCAACAAGGAGGAATGCAACATGAAGCTTGGATCATTCGTCCGGGCCCACATCAAGGACATGATTCGGGAAAGCGGCGACAGAGGAACATCGATTCTGAATTTCTTGACGAACTTCACTCTTTTCCTGGCAGCACTTTCTCTTGTCCGCTGGCATGCCTCTGAGGAGAATCAATGAGATCCTCTAAGGGGTGCATTGAACGTGGTGACTCTCTGACTATCTAAACCGCCGAGGGCGACGCCGCCTGCGCCAGCATTCAAGGCAGAGCGAGCTCATTCGCATCACGAGCAGCACAGAGTCGTGCTCTCTCTAAGGCAACCTACGGTTGGCTTGCCAAGCTCCCCACTGAGGAGTCAGGTTCGTCGAGCACAGCGAGTGCACAAACTGGCTAACCGGTACCTCAGAGCTATTGTTTTTGGAGGCAACTGCCACTTGGCTATGCTATCCGGGTCATGTCTCATCCGGGTGGTCACCAAACTCCTCCGCGCCCGTGAAATTCGTTGGGCGGATCGTAATCTTCTCGGTAACCCTGTTGCCACCCTTGACCAATGGTTTACCAGGCATGGTTACACGGTTCACGAGCCTTGGATTTGGAAATCGGCGCATGCCTCCTTCACTGTTGATCTGAGAAGGATGGCTGTCAAAACAGCTCAGCATGCCGCTCGGCAAGGATGGCGTTCAAGGATGGCGTTGGCATTTGTGGGGCCGCTTCTTGGAATGTGGCCGCCATGAATGTGATGAACTAAGGAATGCGACTGTCGATGAATTCGCTCGAATCGATTTCACTAAGGTACATTCCCATGCTAAAGAGCCCAGTTTCCGTGCTGTCTGCACGGGGGCTATGCTGAGTCCTGCCGCTATGCAGGATCGTCAGGACTTTCCGGTCAGTTGTCCCTGGTGTGGACAGTTTGGACACTGGCACCACTGTCTGTGGCAGTGTGTTCAGAGACCCACTCAGGCTTCTGCCCCTGATTCCCCTATCGCTCTCAGGTTTGGATGGGGGGCCACCCCCGCTCAGGTTGCGTGGTTGACTGAGGCTGCCAAGGCGTTCTGGCAGTCTCGTTACCATGTGGACCTGGCGGCTGACAGCTAGCGCGGCACTGGCCTCCTTGCAGCAGCTGTGGACCTCCTGCGCAGCCTACTGCTACAAAGACATCATCATTCGCATCATAGGGGCTCAGTTGAGTGGTGCCAAATGGGCCGAGGCCTATGCTGAGCCTCAAGGCACCAAATTTCAAGTTTGAGCCCAAGCTGAGCATTGAACTCTTGCTCAGAAGTCCTATGCTGAGTTTGGCTTCAAGATTGAGCCTCAAGGACCAGAGTTCAAGCCCGAGCAAGCTCTGTTGAAGTCCGAAGACCGCATGGAGCTACACGTTGATGTTTCCCAAACCATCCAAGCTTTTCAACTCACTCAGGACCAGCTTTCGCACATTTGCTGATGTCGCAACAGCTGGGGTCACCCAAGCAGTGTCGGAGTCTTGCGTCATGTGTCCGTTCTTCTTCGAGTTGTGTAGGAGTGTGGCACGAGTTGACGGCGGACAGATCGAGGAGACTCCAAGAACACGCAGCACACGCGGGTGGGGTGCGCCATGTTTTTGAACCAGCCCAGGAAGGTTGCGTCAAGGAAGCGATAGAAACGGAATTTGTGAAAGTTGCAATGGCGGACCGCCGTTGCTCTTTGGCAAGGTCTTGGATGTCCTAAAAGGCTTTACATGGCTTTACCACAAAATCGTGCGGCAGGCTAGGAAAGCAAATCTAGCGGGTAAGGCCATTTTCATACCAAAAACCGCCGCCCAGCTTAGGACATTGTAAAGCAGGGAGTGCTGTGGGTGATGATCATCAACATGCCCCTCATCAGACGCACAGCGATTGCTCTAGGCTAGGTATTTTCCAATCAGGATACAACAAAGACATCCATTGGCTGCAAGATGGTAATGTGGAGAGTGGAGATCTCCGGAGACTTCCAAAGTGAAGATCGTGAAGAACATGGTGGACAAGCAACTCCGGGGTTGGCGTCGGGATGCCGCCAGGGTCTACAGAGCTCGCATTCTATCCAAAGTGCGACCCTGTGATCACCTTAAGCCTTAATGACTTAATGCTACACACGTCACACAGGTAGTTATATTGTTGTATTGTGTGTTGCTTGTTGCTTGTCGCTTGTCGCTGGTCACTTGTCGCTTGTCGCTGCCGTTGCTGTTGTTGCTGCTGGCGCTGTTGCTGTTTCTGTTGCTGTTGTGGTTGTGGTTGTGGTTGTTGGTAGTTGGTTGTTGGTTAGTTGTTGGTTGGTTGTTGGTTGTTGGTTGGTTGTTGGTTGGTTGTTGGTTGGTTGTTGGTTGTTGTTGTTGTTGTTGTCGTCGTCGTCGTCGTTGTTGTTGTTGTGGCATGGTGGTGGTGGTGGTGGCGGTGGCGGTGGCGGCGGTGGTGGGGGTGGCGGCGTGGATGTGAAATATGTCCACCTTCCGGTTGGACCTCGCTGGACTCGTTTCGTTTGCATGTTTCAACCATGAGTTCACGCGTGACATGTTTCGAGGAAAGCACACTCACAGGAATCCGCATGCTTCCAGTCTAGCACGGCTGCAAACACCCCATGGTGTTCGCTCCAACCTAGCACGGCTGCGAACATCCCATGATGTTCGCTTTTGGCCATCCTGCGTGATGACACGCACAAATCTGAGAAGGTACCAAGATGCACGCCACTGACTTCGGCGTGGCTCAAGCGCGTGAAAAGACGCGCGCCTGCCTGATCGGCAGGTACGGGGGGCGTGGTGACTGTCGCAGTCACGGTAAAGGGTTTGAACTTGTGTTGAGCCTAGTCGTTTGAAGTGTTCACGAACTTGTTCACTTACTTTTTGTTTACCTTTGAACTGAAGTAGAACTTCATAGTGGATGGTGGCGGTGGTGGTGGTGGTGGTGTGAAATATAGACACCATACCTTCCCTGTGCACATAGCCTGTCGATGGAAAGCGGAACAGGTCTGTTCGAGCATGTGTTTGGCCACGGTCATAGCGACCGCTTGTGGCTGGTTTTTCAAGTGTGATGACACGCACAAACCAAGAAGGTACTAACCAAAGGTATCGAATCCGATCGAAGCTGGTCATAACCTTTGGCCATTCGAACCACTGAGACACGCCGCTACTCACGCAACAAGCCCTATATCTACTACTCCCTCTGAGTCAATGGCTCATAGATGCTAGCGCGGCGCCTTCGCTGTATCTCCAAGAGAGTATCCACGTTTTGCTTTCTGTCTGGTATAAGCAAGGTACAATAGCGCAATCATGCGCAATCCGCTGCCGTGGTTTTAGCGAAAGAAACCGTCACTCAAAGCCTGAAGAAGGGAGGCTGCAGGCGCGTTGTAAGCCGGAGCGTTCTCAATTAAATGTGTTTTCGAACAGAGGCTAAGTTCACCGACTCCGCTCCGAGAGCTCCTGGCTGGCTATTACAAGGAGGTGGTGAAGCTCGCCGTGGAGTTCCATCCTCGTACCATTTGGACGGAGCTTACCGCAGAGCAAGTGCAATGCACTTGACCCTGGTCTCTCAAGTGCATTGCTCGCGCGATGTCGGGCGGAGAAGCGGATGCCCCGCAGGATCGGGTGAACATAAGGAGCCAAGCAGCCCGCAAGGAGGTGGCGATCAGGTGGAGGAGGATCATGCTTGAGGAGCAGAGTGGAGAATGGTATCATCCTAAGAGTTTCACAACGCGGAAGTGCAATATATAGGTGTCGTGAGTTTCATCCGTGCGTTGAAAACATGCCCGTCGGCTCGGTGGGTGTGTTCGTGAGTTGTATTTTCATCCGTGCGTTGAGAACGCGCCCGTCGTGTTGTGTGTTTGTTGGTTGTGTGTTGTGTGGTTGTGTTGTGTGTGTTGTGTGTTTGTGTGTTTGTGGTTGTGTGTTTAGTACGTTCTTGGTTGTGCAGGGTGTGTTGTGTTTTTGTTGGTTGTGTATTGTGTGTGTCGCGTGTTTGCTGGTTGTGCACTGTGTATTGTGTGTTGTGTCTTTGTGGTCGGCTGCCCACTATATAACGATCTGGTGGTTGCTGTTGTTGAGGTCTGGTAGTGCCCACTGTGGTGGTGTTGAGGCCTGAGACTGCCTGCTGCGATCTGGCACTTGCGGTTGAGGTTGGGCATAATCAGTGCCCACTGTGATTTGGCGCTTGCTGTTGCGGAGACTGCCCACTGCGATCTGCGTTGCTGTGGAGGTCGGGAGTATACCCACCGCGATTTGGCGGTTGAGGTTTAGGGAGTAAAGTGGGAAGAGCCGCGGCACCACCTATAAACCTCTAACAACCCTGGCCTGACAGGTGGGAAACAAAAACATGCCCCGCCTTCTGCAGTCCCTGTTTCCAGCTCAGAACCTTTCCTCCCCGGAACACACCGTGGAACGTGCCAGAAATGTCCTGCACTCCAGACGGGTCTCTCTGGCGGTGTTTAATGGCCGATTAGGGGTGCCCATTACCCTCTCACTTTCCATTCACTTGGGGACTAAGAACGCAACCCGTTTGTGAGTCTTTGTGGCTCCTGGCTGTTGCACCATGCGAGCGACAATCATTTGTGCTCCGCTGGTGCTGAGGCCGAATTTGGTGTTGTCGCCGATCCAGCGCTGTGTCCAGATCATCATCAACTACGGGGGCGCTTTGGTGGCCGCTTGCAGCCGAAAGGTGGATGGAGGGCCCTTTCGGTGGCCGCGGGGGAAGCTGCCAGAAAGAGACCACAGCATACAACAGGCTGGCGGGTTTCTTGGAGTTGATTTGGGGTCCATGAAATTGGTTGCGTTTGCTCCAATTTGGGTCTGTATCTGTATACTTACTATCTAAATTTTAATATATTTCCATATTATTGAAATCCACCGGCCCAATGGTTTTTTGGATGGTGTTGGGTTATTTTCCTTCCTTGGGGTCCTTGCCTGGGAGGTCTCCCTATGCGTCCAGCTTGGGTTCGTTTCAAGGGACTGGAATATTATACCATTGAAAAATGGTTGACCTGGTGGTGTAGTGCAAAAATCTTTAGTACAATAATGTTTTGTTTAGGAAAAACTATTAAAACAATGGTGTTTTCGATTCTTATGGGTTTATGCCCACAGTGCAAACACGTATACATACGCCAGTCCCAGACCGGTTGTGTTTGGGTCCTGGAATCCTGAGGGTCCTCCCCTTGGTGTGCCCAGGAACATTTGAAATAGATTGAGGTTATAGGTGTTTTGAGGGTCCGGATCCCTGGTAGGAGGGTCCATGATTCTTGCAGCATTGAGTTCCGACTGTGCTGCGGATCCCCGATGCATGCCCTGGACTGCTTGAGAAAGAGGGGCGGCCCTTTGAGAGGGTGATTGAAGACATGTAGGCCAAGTTGAGACAGCTAGTACTCGGTGAGAAGGGATCTGGATCCCGGGATCTGGCATCACGTTCCGGGATCCCGTTCTCCACATCCACATCCGCCCGCCGTGCGGCCATGGATTTGCAAGGTCTTGTTGAACTCCATGGTCTTGTTGTTCCAGCTGGAGATGGAGGGGCGTACCGTCAGCGCACCCAGCGCCTGTTCCTAGCGCCTTCGCGCCTGGAATCGCGCACGGTCAGTCGAAGCGCTGGCAGCCAGCCCCAGTGCCAGCCCCATAGGTCTTCGAAGCCCGAGACCTGTGGATCCATGCGATCGTGAAGTCTCACACCCTAGGCCTCCAGTCGTACCGAACCGTTTCGGTTTGACTGGGGGTGCCAGGAGGGTCGACAGTCGTACCGAACCGTTTCGTTTCGGTACGGTGAAGTCGGTGTAGGGGTGCTAGACACATCAGTATAGGTGCTGCTTACATCTGGGGGAGTTTTAGAGTTCGTGGGATCAGGAGACCCCGATCTATTTGGAATTGAAAGCAATGAAGGCGCATGGTGAGCACAGAATAGATGTTGATTGGAATCATATAACAAGAAAGACTAACCATTTTAAGACCTGTCATCTAACTTACTGCCACTGCGAAGTCACAGCGTGACCTTCCACCCCAGTTTGCCCACCTGGCCCCTATACTTGGATTTGCTTAAGGAACCTTAACAAAAATAGAGCTATTCCGAAATTCCCCAGAAGGGGATTTACCCATAGGAAATTTAACAAATCACCTTAAGCAAAACCAAAGGTGGCCTTCACTGGCTTTCTGTGACCATCCAAGGGGTGCACCCTGCAATGCACCCCTAGATGCCCTAGATGTGACATATATAAATCCAAAAACACCACACACCTAGCATGAAAAAAATGATTTGATGAAACTGCTTGGCCGCCAAGCCATCCCTTCATCACACGGCTTTAGGTGGCCTTTGATTTGAAACTGGGCCTCAACGAGGCGGGAGCGACGTGGCATGGCGAGGGACCTGGTGCGAGCGTCACGAGACGCTATGCTTCTCATGGTCAAAGCTCATCATGACCGATGAGGATCACCAGGGTTGGGGCAACCAAACGTTTGTAGATAGATCACATACCCAGGTCTTTGTGACCTGGTCAGCACATCACCCAGTGCAGGGACGAGCACAGCAAGTCTCTTGAGACAACACACAATGACAACACTGTTACACCAACAATAGACAGTAACAGACAAGAAGAAACGATGCAAACAACACACATCAAAACACACGCGCAATTGACACCCACCATAACCACAGCACATTTCTCCAGTGGTCCGACCCAGTGTCATGGCACTACAACCGGAACGATATACTATAATTTCGATACGCAATAAGCAGTGACACTCATACCCAGACACTCCATGTATTACATATTTGCCTATATTAGCGTTGTTTGGGGGGTCAATGTAAGCATATATATTGCAAACATGGAGTGTCTGGGATAATGACCACCAAACATACCCACCACACACCCTGTTTTGGGGGTGCCTCGCCACTAAGCCTGACACACTGATCCTACCCACCCTGGGCAGGAATAGCCCCAAGTACAGTCCGCCAGGCAAAAGCCAGGACAACTGAACAACAAAAGGGTCCCCCAAATCCAGTCCGCTCAAAAGAATCGAGGTGACCAGTTTAGCTAAGACTTCCTGAAAGCCACTCATTCAAAGTTTGGTTGTCTACTCATGGATGAGGAAAAGACCCGACAGAAGAGTGAAAGCATACTGAAACCGTTCGAACTGTTCTACGATCCGTCGGTCCGTCGGTCAGGACGCCAGAAGTTCACTCCTCCTCCAAGTTCACTCCAGAAGTTCACTCCTCCTCCGTTGTGCTCCGTTCTACGACACGTCTGCATGTCGTTTCGAACAACTCGCCGAGTCGTCCTGGTTTTCTCTCGTAAAGCCATGCACGTCTGGGCATGTTGCTATAGCAGTAGCGGTACGTAGCAGTACGTCGCGCGTCGTTCTGGGACGACGTAGCAGGACGGCCGCTCGCGGAGCACGTTTTTCGGCCCAGGGCCAGGACTTCAACGAAGTGCTACCCAGCTTCCGAGCCCGGGGAGCTCAGCCCGGGAGTTCCCGGCCGCGTGGGTGAGCTGGGTGAGCCGAAATGTGCCAACCCCCTTGCTCTGAAAAAGAAATGGTTAGGTTTCTGAAGTGGTTTCTCTCTATATATATATATATATGGCTACGGCCAGAAACATAAGGCTTGGATCACACACCCAAACCCACACACGATCCATACCTCGATCCATGGGGTATGGATCAAAAGGTGTGTGATCCAAGCCCTTGGATCACACAACCACCACCACCACTACTACAACCACCTCTCCTGCCACCATTCCTTCTGCTACTGCCACTGCACTTGCCACCTGCTGCTACTACTGCAACAGCTTTACTGCTGCTGCTACTGCTACTCACTACCATCACCAGTATTACCACCACCACAGATTTAGCGGAAGCCACTAGACTCAGCTTCAAATTGGCTTCCCATTCCAGCCAAAATTAATTACCGGAAGCCACTAAGTGTGGTCACAGCCGGGACTCGAACCACCACTACTACAACCACCTCTGCTGCCACAACTCCTTCTGCTACTGCCACTGCACTTGCCTGCAACAGCTTTACTGCTGCTGCCACTGCTACTCACCACTATCACCAGCATTACCACCACCACAGATTTAGCGGAAGCCACTAGACTCAACTTCAAATTGACTTCCCATTCAATTACCGGACCATTAGGCTATGCAACTCTGTGAGTGGAGAATCCAACCCAAATAGCCCATATTAAAGAAGGCGCTAGAACACAATATTAAGGCCAAACAGAATTAGCGGCAGCCACTAACCAGTATTCGGAGTGAGCCTCCAATCTAGAGCTGAAGCCACCACCTGTTAAATGTCTTGAGAGCCCACTGAGTCACCAATATGCGTGGCCAGCTGATGGCCTTTTTGGGCTTCTTGCATCGTGTGCTTGAGTTGGAGGAAGAATGTGCCCCAACACTCATTGCCGCCGCTCAGTGCCAAACCATGCCCAATATGTGGACAGTGGAGCCCAAATTCACAGCGGCCGGAACTTCAAAACAGGCTTGCCACAAACAGGATGGCTTTGATCTGGGAAGCCACCACCTGCACAGTTCACAGTGAATTGGTGAGAAAGTGGTGGGGTGAAGTGCCACCATGCAGATGTGTTCATGCCGGGGGCTTGATCCATAGGGCTTGGATCAGCGCTCTGATCCATAGGGTTTGGATCACTCTCACTGCAGCGCGGAACGATCCATACCAGGGTTTCTGGCCACACCCATATATATATACACACATGTATACACAGATATACTGTAGACGCTTTATGCAAAAAAGAAAACATTCCATTTGGATGTGGGGGAGTTATAAATCAAGAGTCTACATGTATATATACAAACATAATAGATGTTTCTATGCAGTCCTGGCGAGAAGGCGAGGTATGTACAATGTGATGACTCCTGACTCATCACCATTTAAGAGTTTTTGAGCGGTCAAGATTTACAGCGAAATCACTCACAACGATATATTCATTCCTTCAGTCCTACTTTCAATCCTACCATCCGAAAGTACAGTAGTTAGCTGCAAGTATAGTAGATGGAGCAAAGCAGACTGTTTCCTCACGTTGGAGCAATCATTAATAAGTTTGATGGACTTTTTGTCGATGCTAGAACTACAGCGATGATTGAATATGAATCATTCAACTCCAGATGGTGATATACATCCCGAACATTGGTCCATGGTGCCCAATATTTGGCGACGACCTGGCGCTATCCAGGTCATTGACTCCATTTTCATCTTCATTTTCCTGGGGGAGTTGCTCTTGCGTGTGGCTGTGGAACGCCTCGACTGGTTGAAGGCGCAGCTACGCCTTGGAAAAGCGGGCACCATTGGGCCTCTTCTCCACAAGGTGAGTCACTTCCCCACAACACCCTACACCTACACCTCCAGTCGTACCTCCTCAGAAGGTGTGACTAGACCCTCCTTGCACCCGGGCCCCCAGTCCCACCGAACCGAAACGGTTCGGTACGACTGGAGGCCGAACGGGACAAGAGATCCGACGAAGTTGAAGTCCTTTTCTGCTGAAACAGTTCGTTCGCGCGCGCCTACTTACGTGAAGCGACTGATCTGTGTATACGCACGACGTTCGTCGTTCGTGCGCGCCTGGGCCTGACCGACCTGACGGTCAGCCTCAGCCGGCGTGTGGAGGGTTTCTGCATGGCAGTGCCATGTGTGAGTTAGCCCACTGGCAGTGCCATCCAGAGCGGCTCGGCCGTTCTGCTTCACCCAAGGTTAGAGGGTGCACTAGTGAGGTTGACCTGTGCATAAAAGCGCAGCCGGACCTCTTGATAATCCGGCCTCAAGTTATGAATGTTATGAGGTAGGCATGAGCTAAGGCGCTAAAGAGCATTTTGGACACGTAGCATGGCCCATCACAGGCCCTCAAACCACCCCGTCGGTTTGCCCTGAAACTGCACAGACCTGCAGCCATGCATCCCCCCCAGTTTTAATAGCAACCATGGACACTAAACACTCGCTGGCGAGTTTTTCTGGCGCAGGACTTGGCGAATTGGCTCGACTTCGTCATGGTCGTTGCGGGATTGGTGGACTTCTTCTTCTACGTGCAAGCGGAGTCGGCCGACAGCGTCTCTCGGAAGTACGCCGCCGATCGCGGGCGATTGCCCGGGGAGTGCCAAGGCGATCGATGGTGATAGGAGATGCGGCGTGGTGTGGAGGCTTCAGGTGGTGTGTAAGATTCACAGTATTTAAACTACTATTCCTACAAGTCAGTTTGACCTCATTTACTGGAGATGGTCATAGAAAAGCAAAACTTATACGGAGGTAAAGACCTGGTTTAACTGAGTCTTTGGACTTGTAGGGTGTACTCATAGTTATGATGTCCACATCTGATTAATAAATAGGCCACCCCCTTTCAGGTGACCTCAAACAGTCATTAAATTGCTGTTTTACTATTCGAGTGGCGCCAAAAAAGGTCGGATGTGGAGATCTCCATCGTTGTGGTCCAGGTCGCCAGAAGAACCCAAAGCCATATAGCTACATGCATGGCCCTTGTGGTATCAACAGGAACGCCGGCCCCGCTCCTTCCTGGGCGTAGACCGGGGTCGGATTTGAAAGGGATCTTGCTTTGCCTAGAACATCGGTGCAAAAAGCATCGCAAAGTAAGCAGAACGGATGTGCACTGCAAAGAACACCAACGTGGTTCAGGTCACTTTGCGCTTCATTACCGTCATGATGCCTGGTGGAGTGGTGATGCGGGACCGTGTGGTGTCACGCCAAGTCGGTGGGTGAACCTGGGTGAGACGAGCACAGGTGGCGAACTGAGATCCCCTACAGGTCAGGAACTGACCTCATTGGACTGAAGATCACACTCTCCGGAGCAATCATGGCAGATCCGTGGATGGCATGCTCCCCTTTTTCATGACCTGTTTCCTCTACAAATGGATGTATATACGTAGCCTGCCATCCTTGGTGCCATGATTTCATGGAAAGAAGACACCGTTGGGGTGCAAAAGACGAGGCAACCAGGCTGAACTCACTGGGACTGACAGGTCCGACCTATTCCGTCCTCTTCCGTCTCATTGCGTCGTCCAAAGCGAATAGCCGGTTTTGGGCCTCCGGTGGGCTGGGGTCGATCCCACACCTCAAGACTTGGGTTTGTTGGGTCAATCCCCTCCCTAACCTGCATGGGACATATCATGGAAATAGGTGTGAATTGGTTCCAGATTCGCTTCCTGGATTTATGTATCTGTCCAGGTTCCTTAAAGACAGAAAATCCAAGGAGACCTCTTCCACTGATGGGCTCGATTTTGCGCAAATCTTTGGCATCCAGAGGTTCAAATCAATAGGCCAGGCCGGAGAAATCACTTGCTGCATGATTCGCCTCAAGAGGCTATAGTTACACCGGCACCCAAAGCTATCGGAAAACAAATCGAAAAGCTGGTTTTTCAACCAACTGATGGCACCACTCACAGAGGCTGGGCTGAAAAACAATTCAATTTTTAAGCCACAGAACCCGTTCCTCCCCTTCGGGCAGCCCAACCCACCCACACTCCGTCACTATCCGTCACTCCTCCAGCTGATGTTCTAGCACCCAAGCGGGCGTCATGATCCCCGCGCGGTTTCCTCACGCGCGTTTAGCTGGGATTCGCGCAAGTCTTCAGTCTTCCTTCCGCCCCGCCGTGCGAGGAAAGCCTTCCGTGCCATCCGGATGGTCCGCTCCTTTCGCTTCTTCCGCGGTTTGCGGATGTTGGTCAAAGCTTGCCAGTGCTGCAGGGAGGCTCAGAGGCTGACAAAGCCACACCCGTTCCTCATTCCATCCAACGGCCCCTTTCTGCCGTGCAGACGCGGCGCAGGTGGTTGGGCCATGGGTGGTTTGGCTGAGAAAGAGGATGATTGGCCCTCGGGAAGTCTCTTCAGGATTCTTCCAAAATTGGTCTATACAATTCTATACACCAGGGGCCCCACAAACGCTCAAAAACCCGGGCTCTTCCCTAGAACAAAAAAGACCTGGTTTGTAGATTTGAGCATTTTTGTTTGTCATGGGATGGAAACTGAGGGCCGCTGGGAGCTGGTTTCTGTTCCCAATCGTTTGAACAAGGCCTGCAACTGAACTATTCGGATCTATGCCAATATATGTTAAACATTGGCAGTATGCTGCGTATATGCCCATATAAGGTCATATCGTATGTCAATGGCATTTCTAGTCCGTTATGATGTCTCCTAAAAAGTCGGCATGTGTGTTTTCTCGGATTGGTCGGGGCCCTCAAGACAATTCAAACTATATATGTTTGAGGGCCCGGATTCTTAGGGCACCATTGAATACCCAAACTGCCGTTGGTGTCATTCAAACTTGCGCTTCCAGTCCGGTCAAGTTTGACCGCTTTCTGGTGGCCAGAGCAGCGTTGAATTCGCCACTTCCTTTCCAATCTTTTAGGATATGTCCATCAGCTAAGGCTCATTCACAGCGCTCATTCAAAGGATGTTCATCCTCACATGACCATCCAGGGTGCCGATCATGGTCATCGGCTAAGGCTTGCCTTCATTGTGCTGGTCGATGCTGCTCTTGGCCGTTTTCATGTGTCGCTCGACCGGGGGGGGGCAGATTTGGGTCTACTATAATATGTCATCTAGTACAAGCTGCACCGTGTTGTTATGTTAGAGTATATAGACCCCCGGAAGTAGATCCCCACTCAAACATGTTTTTGAAACCGCACCACTGCACTATCTATTTGGGGACCACTATGCTATGTCCCCTCCGCTCGGGAGTGTGCGATACGCCACGGGGCCAACAATCCATGTGCTTGGTACGGCAAACGTTGAACCTGCTTGGGGTAAGGATTCCCGCCTACCAATCAAAACCCTGCGCAGTTTGTGTGTTTTAACTTATGACATCATATGACATCTAGAAACCCACGGATTTGTTGCCTGGATGGGCAACACCAAAACGTCAACAGGGCCCCCCTTTACGAGTTGTTGACCAATGGGCTCCATTAAACCTTAAAGGTCAAGGCGTATCTACTAACCACCTCTGAAAAAAAAGGTATATCACCTCCACATGTTGTCATGTGGGCTACCCACAACACATTTGACCTTTGCTTTGATAGGAAAAGACTATGTTTTGGGTTTTAAAACAGGGGTCCATCAGGTTCTGGGTATATAAACCACCGCCACGTCCTGAGGCATGGGCGGCTTAATTTTGGGAAACCTCTTGCAGAACTTCATCAAAGATGAGACGCTCTGGCAGCGTCTGGGGGCCGTGAGGCTGGGAGGCCCTCAGCTAAGTGAGTCGATCATGGGATGCCGAAAACATCCGACAACCAACATGGACCAAACACCAATGGCCCCATAGGAAGATGCTTTTCCTCCACCATCCCGTGTTTTTTCAGGATCCATCTTAGTCTACCAGAACATACCACCCGTATTCCGCCCGATTTTCGGGGGCGCTCTGGTTGAAGGACTTTGACTCTGGACCCTAAACCCAGATGCCGGGATCAGGTGGTTGGGGGATGTTGGGGGTCCGCGTGGAGAAAGGTCTAAATAAAGACCTCAAGAACCATGGACAGAAGAACATGAAGAGCTATCAGAACTGGAACTACAAGTACCTGTGTTAAGTCGCCTGGTCTTGTAGAAAGTCGTCTGGATGCTGCGTTTACATGCGGCCGGGTGACTTTCTGCAAACCCGGGTGACGAAACCCCAGCGCTTGTATGGCAGCAACGTAGGTATCACCACGCATGATCGACGAGAGGCAATGCCCTTTTTTCGACAGCTCATCGACAGCTCATCGACGTAAAACCTTGCGATCATCTTCCCTTGGTTTTCCGTGTTCCCATACAGCTCCATCGCTCCGCCAACCAGGTTGAGGTCTTTTGGTTGACTCCAACTCTGGCACCTCTGGCTCCCTCCGGAGGGGGGAGGAGCCTACGCCGACCTCCGGACCCGAGGAGTCAGAACTTCGAGGACCGTCGCTGGATCTGGGAGCGTTACGGCACGGCCAGCCGTGCCACCTGGACCCTCTACGAGTGACTTGGGCGTTGTTCGGTCCGTGTCTGAGCGAGAGGATGGTGGTGGAAGTAGGTGTAGTGCTCCGAAGTAGTTGCAGTGTTGCAGGTATGGAATGTGGAAGAGATGGCTCTTGTTCCATCATGTGTTTTGTTGGCTGAAAGGAGGTGAATCATGTGAATCAACAGTGGAAGAAACTGGGCAACGATGGAGGTCTTACAACCCAGATAAGAACATGCAGGATCAATGAACAGATTCTTCTCCAATGGGTTAACAATGTGGAACCTTTATAATTGTTCGAAGATCTTTTTGACACGGCACATATTGTACTTGCATTCCTGAAAGGAAATGCCAGGCTAGAATTCAATGACTCAAAGCCCCTGCCATGGGACGTGGCTAAACAGGAATGATCCTAAACTCATTTCCCAGGCAGCCTGGCCCTGTGCTCATTCTATCAATGTGGATTTGTACCGTTTGTCTTAGCCAATTGTGCTGGGGCATGACATGACATGCTGAGGATCACTTTCGCGGGTCGCTTGGCCTTTCGTAAAGATGCGGGAAGATTTCGGGCAGCCTGAGGAGAAGCAGCTGAGTAGGTGTAGCACTATAGTCACTGGACCTTGTGACTCTCTATATTTGCATGGTCATCATGTCAGACACAAAGCATCCTGAAACTCCGGAGACGACTTCTGCCGGATGGATGTGCCAGATGGTCCGGGATGTCGGTCCTCCTGCTCTCTTTACCTCCCAGGAGGTTGGGTGGAACACCCCGCGATGTTTTTCATGGAACCTTGGAACATCCCACCACGTGATTCACATCTCAACCGGCTCATATCTTGCGTAGCTGGAAGAGTCATTTTGCCGCGCCATGTGCTGCATGTGGCGGCATAGTCTTGGAAAAGAACACCACCTAGATCTCACGGTGCCTATTACCTTTCAACAAACCCAGACACTCCGTGTATGCCATAGGACTGCCGATCAATTGGGGTGGTGCCAGGGGGGTCAAGTCTGGGCGGCAGTCCGTCCTGGCAGTCCCATGGGTCGTGTCTGGGAAAAGGAAAAGCGGCTTGAGAGTGGACGGCGGAATCCACGAGTTCAGTGTGTTCCATCTGGGGGTCCCATCGGTCGACCACAGTACCTGGAGCCACTGTCGGGGTGGTTCATGGACACCCCGAATCACCTCTAAGGGGCTATCAATAGACACCCCTTTGGGTTTGAAGGAGCTGACAGCCAAAAGCAGGGTCGCTGGGCCTCTTTATTGGCCCAGCTGCTCAGACCTGGCCACTCACCAAAAAAACTCGGTGAAAACAGCGCTGGTGGTATTGGAAGCCATTTGTGGCTCGGGTCACACTTTTGCAAGTGGACACTAGTATGCCAGAGGTGGTGCAGGCGAAGCTGGCGAACTTAAAAGCAGCAGGTTTTTGATGCCCAACTATATGATCAGAGGGTTTGCGCTCTGTCGCAACGGTGGCAACTGTGCTACGTGCAGGTCCAAGGGCTGTCCAAGCTGAAGATGCTGAAGGGATCCCGTCACAGCAAACAGAATGGTATGGTATGGGAAGATGTGGATTCAGTGGATTCAGCGGATTCTTCCTGAAAATGCCATTCTGCTTGCTGTGACCCACATCCGAAATACCATGGTTGTTTGATGTTTTTCATCCCGGGCCATTGGACCACATCCCAATATCTATGAGAATGTTGAGACGAGATGGTCCTTCAGCCAGATCTTGGATATGCCAGGAGTCAAAGGGGCCGTGTTTAGTCCCATCCAGTGAGTGGATCATGGGCACCCCTAACCTCCAGGAGGCATTTCTTTGGAACTGCTGGCGCAGATTGAGATGTTGTTGTTAGAAATCAGAGCTCGATCGGACAGTTGGCGGAACTAGAGCGGCGTGAACTGAGGCAATTGGCCGCAGAATGTCCGACCAGTCTTGGAGAAAGTCAGTCAGGGCTTTATCGTTTTCTATTTGTTGCCTCTCGGACGCACACGTTCTTCTGTGGGAAACTCTCCGAAGACGTGTGGATCTACCACTGCAGCGGTCAGCGGCCCGTTTGGACGAGCTCCCGGTGGTAGACCGTTTTTTTTTTTTTTTTCGGACGCACCACCGCGGGTCATCCAAGCACGGTGTGTCTTTAGGAGTTGAATGGTTGGTTGGACATTGGTTCTTCCATCGGGATTGCCTACATGGGCCAATGTTCTTATTAGATTATATAGTATTATAGTGGTTGTGCCTTTGTAGAAGTCCAAGAGCATCGTGGACCACTGTTTCTCCAGATCTCACCTGAGCCACGTTTTAAACCTCAGTTGTCATGTCAAGTAAGGAGATCCTTGTAAGGACCTGTGGCGTAAGCAAAACACTGGTGGGCGTAAGCCCGCGTAAGCAATTTTAGCCAATGTTGTTGCCGTAAGAGATTTTTCGTGATTTGTGAAATGGCAGTTTTGGACCAAGAACCTTTTATATTCCACGCTTACAGCCTAACATACATCCATGGGATCACTGTCAGGTTGCTGGATTTTTGTTTCCTCAAGTGGCGGCAAGCTCCATGCTGCAGGTTGAATGTGATTCTGATGATTCTGCAAGATTGAATTGCATGGAAAACGAAATCATGATAAAGCCCGCAATGAAAAGGATTGTCCACCAAGACAAGGAGTTTTAACAACTGCACTGTACTATCGGATGGAAACAGCAACACTGCAATGTGCCCATAGTGTCATACCTTTTTCAAGACCTTCACCTCCAACCTTTGTTTCCGGGTTGGAAGCCAAAATCCGCGTAAGGTCCGCGTAAGCGGCGCGTAAGCCAAAGCTGCTTTTGCCAGTAGTTGCCCATGTCTCCCAAACACAAATCATTTTCGCAACTTGGTGCAGAGCGCCAGCGACCTGTCGCAAAGACAGTCTCGGACATTTTGGAACAACATTGCCCTTCTCTGGATGAAGCACACCTCTTTCTGAACAAGGCTTTCTCTAGATGTCAAAATCTGTCTTTCCTGGCCTGTCCGCTATCAGTGGTGCCCAGTCTGTCTGTCATGCCCGCGCGCTCAGCAGAGGTGCTGCCAAGAAGCGTCGTCAACTTCGTCATTTGCGAGCTTCTTCTGTTGCTGCGTCTTCATCGGCTTCATCTTCTTTGTCCACGTCATCATCTTCTACTGCTTGATGCTGCCTAGAAATGCTGCGGTTCCTGCAGGTAAGAGTTGCTGTGCGTACTACAAATGTCCAGCGTAAGGTCTGCGTAAGCCGGTTTATTCCGCGTAAGCAAAACTGTGCGCGCGTAGGCAAAACGTAAGACGCGGCGTAAGCGTTGCCTTGTTTGGTGCCGGGATATAAGACGTTTAAAACACAGCTCACCTAACAACTGATGCTATAGATCTTATAGATCATATGATAATATCATACGATGATTTTGATCCAAATGGCAATGGAACAACGGAAGGCACCGGACCGTTGATGGATGCATTTGCACACCGGACCGTCGGTGGCGCGCTACCGGACCCTCCGGGTCGGCCTGGGGGTTTTGCCGCGGAGCGAAGTACCCCAGACACGACCTGTCTGGGACTGGCATAGGACTACCGAGAAACGGCCAGGGGTGGTGCCGGGTCAATTGATCAGCATTTTTTGTGACAGTCCCATGCAGCGTCTGGGTACGTGATGATCCATGAAAACGTACAAAGCAACAAGGACGCTACGAACGGAACAAAGGGCATGGCTATACGAACGGAGCAAGAAGCTACCACCGTTAGCTCCTGGCAAAACTAGTAACAAGAAGCTATGGGAAGATATGTTATACCCTCCAACAAAACCAGGCAGAATGAGTTTGGGCCAATGCCCTTCATTTTTTCGAAACCGGTCTTTGGCAGTGGGGCTGGTGCTTCATAGACCCCCCCAGGTGCTGGTTTCTTTCAACCTGAAACTTCTCCAAACCGTCCGAGCTCTAGGTATATCACGATCATCGTGTTCGCAGTGTCACTTGGATCTATAGCGGGGCTTAACTGGCTGTGGAGTACATGCCGGTTTCCAAACGGAAAGTCAAACGGGTCGATTTTCGTGCACGGACTGACCCAACCAGTCCTTCGTCCTTGGCCTTGCATGTTTTTGAAGCAAACGTGAGTCAGTTTTCCTTCTTGGAACTGAAGCTGCGGCGTGGAATCAATGAATCTATTTGAACATCGGTATTCAACACGGACCGTCATTGACGAGGGAATTCTGCTGATGTGTTCGAGGTGTTCTCAAACACAAGCTGATGTACCCCACCTGCTTCCGTTCGGTGCAACTACAGGTCTAGGAACCTGTGGCATTTGTCAGGTCATGTGACCGGGTCACCTGGAATCCCGGTCCCAAGCAGAAACCCGACGCGGAGGTTTGTCCAAGTCTTTTTTCAAAGAAGTCACGTCAAAGGTTCGAGTCGTAACGGATCTCGGATCCGGATTCCAACTCCCCGCGTTTCGATCTGCGACAACTCCATGATCGCCCCGCGCGGCACCGTCGCCGTTCGACGCCTCGACGCGAGGGCGGCGAAAAGCGGCACGCGGCGAGGATCCGGGTGATCAGTGCGCTTTTCCTCCGCGACACCTTGGAAGAGGCGGGGGGTGTGTTATATGTGAACATGCAGCCGGAAGGGAGAGTGGTGATGTTTTGGATCTTGAGTCTTGAACTGAGGTATTTCCATGGTATGTTCTTGTGAAGGTTTTTTGTTTTGAACTGGGCCGAGCCTGGGGAGTCTGTTTGTAAGTTTAAAACCGGCTTCGTGGACTCCTGGACCACCAGAAAACCTTAAGAAGTTCATTGGTATAGTATAGTGGAAGATGTGGAGACCCCAGACAGGGCATGGTTTTGCATCAAGTTCTAGGTGTGAGAAATCATCCTTTTGATGTGCACCTGGATGGCATGACATGGTCGATCGTCCGCAGTTCGAACTCGAGCTATCCCTTTGTTGTGAAAAGGCCGCTTCCTTTTCATGCCTGACACCTGGTTCATCTCGCACGTACCATGGTGAGTTGGTAGCGGAGCCACTTTTGGCCAGCGTCGCAGTTCGACGATCGCGATTCGC